GAGTTCGGAAGTGTCAATAGTAGGTGTGAAACTTTGTCCGTTTCCTCTAGCTTAGCTCCTGTTGCTAACAATTCGGCAATCAAATCATCAAATACTGTAAAATGTTGAATCATTGAGGTATCACCCTGGAGTTTTAAACTTAAAAGTCTTTTTCGCAGTGCCAATTGAGATGCTACACTTTTCCGTTCGTAAATTTTATCCAAATTTTGCAAAATTTCCTTAGCCGTAAATTCTTCTTTTGCAAAACCCAGAAATGAGTCTGACAGGTACTCCACTATGACACTTTTCGCAGTACGCTCTAGTTTTTGCCACTCCATGGTAATCGGATCAGGGATTTCATTGTCTATCACTTTTATAGCGTCAAGTTCGGATAAAATCACTCTAATGCGAAATTTCCACACACCATACTTTTCACCATCAAACGGTTTAATGTTCCTTTTCGCGCTTTTACCATCCATTGTTATCAGCTAAATCACTTTGACACAAAATCACTGATAGCAATATTTACTAATTATGCTTATACACGCGCGATTTTCAAGCCAATTCAGTGCCTGGACCCATAACCTGTTGGTTATGGGATAGAATAATACTCAGTGGATTTGGCTTTTATTAGAAATTTTATATTTCGTTCTGCACAAAACTGCAATGCACTCTGAAGGCCTAACCATAACTAACTAAACTTTTTAATTCCAATCCTCAAAATAGTCAAAATATATTCATAAAAGCTTTTAAGAAAAAACAGTTTTTTTTCTTTTAATGTAAACATTCTTGCTTTTATATAAACACTTTTGCTTTTTATGTAAACATACTAACGTAAACAAACTTGATTAAAATAACAAAGAATATCGAATTAATTTTTTATATTCCAACAGTAAGTATATTGAACTTCGTTGACCAGTCAGAAACAACTACTCCGAGGGCAAATACCCCTACCGGCGTTGAACTACACTGATTGGTCTGAGCTTTCGTTGGCAATAGAAATTGTTAGAAAGATTTTTACAGGTAATGACCAACGTGAATACAGGGACACTTCGGTCCCTGTTTGGGAATCGGCCCACTGAGCAGTGGACTCAGGCTTCCCGTGCCAATCCTTGACGCGTTTCGTCCTTGTTAGGACTCATCAGAAGGACATAGGCTGAAGCTCCCTGTCCAAGCAAAATTGAACTTCGTTGACCAGTCAGAAACAACTACTCCGAGGGCAAATACCCCTACCGGCGTTGAACTACACTGATTGGTCTTTCTAACAGTAAGTATATTATTGTTAAATGTAAGTAGAGTTTTTTATGTTCAGCCAGAAATTGTGAAGGCAAGAGTGTGAGTCGAGTCAAACTGTAAATTAAAATTTTACTTGGAATCATATAAATTTTCCTTAACATTTAATTGATGACTATTATTAGAGATTGAATAATTTTATTGTAAGATTATTTATGACCGACGCCTGTTATTTAGTAACAAGCTTTATTTATTTTAATAAAATAAACTTTATTTACGACTAATGTATAATGTGCGTATTATATTTGTGATTTTGGTAGTATAATGACATATGTTATTCCTCCAGGGATTAATGACGAGTAGCGGGATTAATGGTCATTATTCCACAAAAGTGTCAGTGTCAAACGTGTAGTGCTTGTGGATTTGTATTGAAAATTATGAGACGGATGAAATTTGTTCATTGAAAATCTCAAATAAATTAATTTGTCGTAAATAAAGTAGAGTATACTACTCGCAATAATGGCTATTATTCCCTCGGAATGTTACTCCCTCGCCGCTAACGCGGCTCAGTTCGTAATAATCCTCGGGAATAATAGCTATCATTATTGACTCGTGGTATAATCTACTATTATTTTAATTGACCACAATATTGTTTTAGTCTCTCCACCCGCAAATAGGACCCACTTTAAACTGTGTCTGTGTCTCAGAAACTAAAGTCACCGCTCGCCAATTTAACATCTTGCCAAGTTTCTGAATTTGGGGTCTCACAGTGGCATTTTGTAGAGGAGAAAAAGGTAAAATCGGGGTTTCTCTAAAATTAACCGTTTAGGTTTTACAGCCTGTCAAAGTTGAAAAAGTCAATTTTCAACGGTCAATATTTCCAAAACAGTTGAACTTAGGTATAGGGTATATCGTATATCACATGAAATCTGCTCAGAATTTCACGTAGAATCCAAATATGCAATCACATACAGGGTGTCTCATTCAAAATAAGCAAGTTGACGTCTACTTCCGGTATAACCGGAAGTGCCACCATCTTGAAAATATTTTAGCCCGGTTTTCCCATTGATATTAGTATACTGTTTGGAGGGGGAATGCAATATTTTTTACCCATACACATATTTATAAGAAAAGAATAAAGTAGGTGAAGTCAAATAAGAGAGAGCTCACTGCTCACAGCAGGTGCCGCCGGAGACAGAATTTTTTTTGTCATAAAGCATTTCTTCCAAATAGTCTAAAGTAAAATAAATAGTCAAATATTTTCTCCTTCTGAAAAACACTATGCACGTTATAGAAGAAATATTAATACTTGCAACACTAATAATCTTCAGTATTTCTCTTTTATTTTTTGGCATCATCAATATTATTAGAATGTCCCCTAACACTATCCCCAAAATAACTAATATAGCATAGGCTATGAATACTACACCTAGGCCTTGGTAACGTTTCAAATTTGGTAAAGAATGACACACTGCCAACGAAATTTTATAATAATAAAATTCTAAATTACATTGCTTTTTCCATGACCAAGCCATTTTACAAAGTGCAGTCCATTTTGCTGCAATTGCAATCTAATAATGACTTTTAAATATTGAAGTTGCTTGAACGTAAAATATTCACCAGTTTGTGACACTGTGACGTGTTTGAGGCTACAAAATTTGATAATTATTATCGATTCATGATTTCGCTGGAAATTTCCCTTGTGCAAATTACATAGAAATTGTCAAAATTAATAAGTGGAAATTTTTGGAAATATCCCGGGGAAAATTTCCAGAATTGTAATTTTTGGCATTAAGGCCCGCTTTTCCATTTAAAACGCATTGATGTCAGGAATCTGTCAAAGTGTATATTTTATTGCCAAACGCAATTTAAATGGGAAAGATCAATAACAATCACCATCAATAAAAAAATTCGACACAACGTAGTAAATAGACTTCAAACTCGGGAAGTTTCCTATCAAAATATAACGCATAAAATATTTCCTGAAGGAAATTTTTAAAAATTTCCAGCTGTATGCAACATCCTCTTTTAACTTAAAAGCGCTTTTTAAAACTGGTCACTTTTAACAATCTGTATTCTAAGCCATACAAATTTTTAAAGGTTACCAGTTTTAAAAAGCGCTTTTAAGTTAAAAGAGGATGTTGCATACAGCTGTTCGTCTTTAGCCAATTTTTTTGAACAAAACCATTCGTGCATAGCGCCAAAGAAAAAATCCCTCACCCTATGCACTCATGATTTTGTTAAAAAATTGGCTTCAGACAAAATTCTCAAAAATTTCTGGAAATATTTCATGCACTAGTTATATTACTACTGGTAATACAGCATAGCATTACATACAGGGTGTTCATTTTAAAACTTACCACCTCTATGATCTCGGAGTTTAAAATTTTCGGATAAATCTCTGAAACATGGCAACTATAATTTGAAGGGGGATGCGTTTTTATGCAAAACTCACCTCCCCCCTCTCAATCCCTTAGCCACCCCCTAGAAAATCCTAAACGGGAAAGAGGGGTTAAGTGATACATCATTTTGGAGAGTTTTTAATTCCATTTTGTTACTACATTTTTATCCCTTCAACTGTTTTGGAAATGTTGACAGTTGAAAATTGAATTTTTTCTACTTTGACAGGCTGTAAAACCTAAACGGTTAATTTTAGAGGAAAACCGATCTTAAATTCTCATCTTAAATTTTCATAAACTATCATTTAACAGCAACTTTGAATTAAATCCATGATCAAAAATTCCAGCCGGTTAAATTCGAAGTTGGTGTTAAATGATAGTTTATGAAAATCTAAGACAAGAATGCAAGATTGGTTTTCCTTTAAAATTGTCCGTTTAGGTTTTACAGCCTGTCAAAGTAGTAAAAAGGTCAATTTTCAACTGTCAATATTTCCCAAACAGTTGAACTTACGGATTAAAATTTAGAACCAAAATGTATGGATTTAAAAACCCTCCAAAATGATGTATCACTTGACTCCCCTTCCCATTTAAGATTTTCTAGGGGGTGGCTCAGGGAGCTGAGAGGCTGACAAGGGGTTTTTGCATAAAAAAACAAAAATTTTGCATAAAAACTCATCCCCCTTCAAATTATAGTTGATGTGTTTTCAATTCTCAATTTCAATTTTCAACTCAGAGATAATAGGGGTGATAAGTTTTACAATGAACACCCTGTATGCAATTTTAAAGCTTCTCGCATTTGCATGTTTTGTCGTAAACCAAAATTGACTTAAATTCAGGTTAACAACACATTAGGGTTGTATCTAGATGGTTGAATTACTCCTTCAGTACAGTGGCTTTGGGTGCTCATAGGTTTGAGACAAAGAGTCATGAGTCTTTCACTTATCCCAGAAGGAAGCCTACCCCGTGAATTCAAGCCTCATTCCATTCTTTCCTTTCCAGAAAAAAGTGTAGCTTCTGCCATTTTCTGCTTACCCTATGAAGGATGAGCAAAAAAGATCCCAAATAGGTCTGCTCAGTCGCAGTTGCTGGATAGCCTTCCTTAAGCAGAAAAGCTATTACCGGTGATATGTCTTTTGTAATTTGGCTACTTCTTTCTCTCTGATGATCTTAAGGCCTATGTGAAAGTGAAAGTACTCCAGTGTCTCCATCTAGAGATGATTGCAGAGTCATTTCCATTTCTCTGAAGACAATTACTATGACCTGTGTATGTAATTTAGCAAAAAAATATTCATAATTTGAATACCTACCAGGAAAGTAGTTTACTGCCTCAGTGCCTACAGATTCAGTATTAGGCCCTAAACCCATTGGTGAAAAAAGGACAATATGACATATGAAAAAAAAAATCTTTTAATTTGAAATACAACTATAACAAAATACAAAATGCAACAGCACATTGCACTCAACCTTTCTTAGCTTTTCTCACTTTACAATCCTCAACAATAATTCTTTTAAATAAAACCGCTTTTTCACTACCCAAATTCCTAGTTTGAAACTTGTCATTTTTCCATGAAAGCACTGTAGTGTCCACAAAGTATCTCTCACTTTCATTTACATTCAACTTATCCAATAAAGTGCGACTGATATTTGGAATTGAGGGTTGCAATAATATGCCAGTTATTCTTAAAGCTTCCATAGCCAAATGCAACACGACTTGAAGATCGGCTAGAGTTTCGGATGCTTTTTTCAACTCCCATGGTTTGAGAGTTTCAAAAAATAAATTGGCAGAATGTAGAGTGGCTATAATGGCGTCTGTTCCTTTGTAAAAGTTGAACTCATTATAGTGTTTAAGACAGACTTCTACAATAAAAGATAAAATAGTTTTGTGTTATTTTCTAAAATACTTGAAGCAAATAATTACCAGGTAGTTGCTCCAGATTGCAAATTAATTTTTTCGTAACTTCCATGGACGCTATTCGATTGAATACTTCCTGATCAATTTTTGGAATTACTTGGTTTGGATTTAAGTTATTACCACAACATCTACTTAGTAAGTTTCCAAGAGTATCTGCTAATTCTGCATTTAGCATCCTAATGACTTTTGTGTTGCTATAATCTAATATTAAGTTGAAAATTCAATTTGAGAAACGTAATAAGTACTTACTCCCATCACTATGGTTGACGCCTTCTTTAAGCAAAAAATACCTCAACCCATCCTTAGTAAAGATATCAGATTTTTCAAAGGGATTGACCACATTTCCTTTAGATTTTGACATTTTCTCTCCGTCAACAGTCCAATGTGAATGGCACAGAATAGTACGAGGTGGTTCTAAATCAGCCGCAATCAAAAATGCTGGCCAATAAATTCCATGGAACCTGAAACGTTTCAGTTTTATTGGAAAATAATAGAGAAAAAATCACTTGAGCCGGGGCCCCCCCTGAAAACTTGCGCTTGTGCCAAAAGTCGCATGAAAAAAGTCTACATCAAAAATATGACAAAATGTTATATATGATATACCTATATACAATATATAATATGAATCTCGATAATATTGTTAATATTTGCCTTTCAGATATTATTGACGTAGCATTATCCATGGAAATTTGACAGTTTGACCCTCGTATAATAATGACAGTATATAATAATAATAATAATAATAAGCCTTTATTTCCAACAGGAATAAACCCAATTACAGGAAAAAACACATACAATTTAAAGAAAAACTATATAGAAAATCGTGCACCCCAGCACACTAAATTATAGATAAATAACAAAAAATGAGCAAATAATAATAATAATAATAATAATAATAATAATAATAATATCTAATAAATGCAACAAACAAAAGAAAAACAAAAACATTTTTTTTTCACCAATGCAAGAAACCTAAAGCTAATAATCAATCAATGGAAAGAGCACCAACAATCCGCGACAGCCTATCATGATTAATATCACATTCGCCCGACACAGTATTGTAAACAGCGCACATTAGATACACTGGGCTCTGTGATAAGACGTTAGATCTATCTGTGCACAGATGAAATGTCCGACTATATCTGCCCCCAATGCGTGGAACATGAAACAACACCTGAGCGACTAGGTATGGGCAGTCTATAATATGATGCAAGAGATTATATAAAAACCTCACTGCCTGAACCTTTCTTCGGTCGGCCAAAGATTGAACGCAGAATCGCTCAAGTAGCTGATGATGATCCACGCGCCTTGGGGGGTAAACACCATCTACCTTAACTGCCAAATATTTAAGAAATAGTCTCTGGGCAGTTTCAATAGATTTAACATGACAATCATATATAGGACTCCACACAATTGCACCATACTCAAGCTTTGACCTTACAAAAGTGTAATACAAAAGTTTAAATGTGAATAGATTTGAAAAATGTCTGCTGTTTCTGAAAACAAAGCCAAGCGTCTTGAGGGCTGATGCACTTGTTGCGTCAACATGAGGTACAAAAGTTAAACGGCTATCGAATATCACTCCTAAATCCTTGATTTGATTGAGCCGAGCCAATATAGTACCTTCAATGGTATAGTCAAATACAACAGAAATTTTTTTTCTGTGGAAACTGATAATATTGCACTTCTCAACATTCAAAAGAAGCCTGTTTTCCTTGCACCAATTATTCAAAATATCCAGGCACGACCAGCGGCGGATTTAGGATCCCTTCTAGGGGGGGGGGGGGCGATCCATCAGGGCCTCAGGCTCAGATAAGAAATAATAAAAAAACGACTTAAATATACAGAGTGGCAAAAAAGTCGCGTATAATACCTGTAACTTTCTAATTACCTCGTATACGAAAAAGTGACCTTAATGAAAGTTGCTCAGTAAATCAGGGACATAAAGCTTCCGTATTTTTTGCTCGGTATCCGTATCGGTATCGTACTGCGCATGTGCAGAAGCGATACGGAGGCCGAGATACCGTACGTACAACGTAACGTTACGGCCCTCTCGCGGTATCCGTATCGGTAACGTATCTTGACATTCCTGACGCATGTGTCAAATTTCAAATGAATATAACCTCCCTTTTCTTCCGGGTTGATTTAATTTGTTTAGTTTATACTTTCTTGAGTTTCTTGTGTGTTTAGTGCTTCTCTATCGCAAAAAAAATAACAATTTTGAGGTTAGATATAAAAACGCCGAAGTTTTGAGACAAAAATGTCTAGGTTATGAAATGCGTTTACGTTTACCGGAACAGGGAGCGCTTTAACAGCCTTTTCGCTTGTCAACGTATCTAGTTGCGTTACGGATACCGATACCGATGAATTATTTCAAGTAGCTTTATGTCCCTAATATTTCCCACAATTCTACTTAAACGTATTGCCTGTGTCACTTCTGGTTTGTTTGCTATCTAGACCAACTTTCTTTTTTTCAAATAAAACACCCTGTATGTGATTGCATATTTGGATTCTACGTAAAATTCTGAGCAGATTTCATGTGATATACCCTATACCTAAGTTCAACTGTTTTGAAAATATTGACAGTTGAACATTGACTTTTTGCAACTTTGACAGGCTGTAAAACCTGAACGGTTAATTTCAGAGGAAAACCGATTTCACATTCCTATCTTAGATTTTCATAAACTATCATTTGACATCAACATTTAATTTAATCGGAGATTAAATTTAATTGGAATTTTCAATTATAGATTAAATTCAAAGTTGGTGCGGATTTACGTCATCCGCAGTCGATTCGCTCCCAGCTCGCTGCTGCCAAACGTATTTAAAAGTATTAAAAATTTGGAAAAATAGCAAAAACCATATGGAATTTCATGTTGGATAATGCTTGATGAATGTGTTTGTGTTTTCGTTAAAAATTTCGTTGTTGCGTCGCTCAATAGGGGGGGGCGCGCGCCCGCCCCCCCTCTAAATCCGCCACTGGGCACGACTGTAACGTAATACAATCCTGGGTAGTAGTAACTGTGGCAAAAAGCTTAAGGTCATCTGCATATGCAAGCTTCGAACAAGGCAGTGTCTCAATAAGATCGTTTACAAAGATGTTAAAGAGGAAAGGGCCCAAGTTAGAACCTTGCGGGACACCAAATGAGGAATTGAATAGGAATGATCTGAAGCCCTCACACTGTACAAACTGACTTCTATCCAACAGGTAAGACTTAATCAAATTCACCAGCCTATCCGAAAAGCCCAAGGCGTGCAACTTATTGGTCAAAATATAGTGATCAATACGATCAAAGGCCTTACGAAAATCGGTGTATACTACGTCGACTTGGCCGACACTGTCCAAAGTAGTGCACAAATTATGGGATAAACAGGACAAGTTGGACATGCATGACCGGCCACTCATAAAGCCATGTTGCTCCTCAGACAGCAAGCCCCTAACCAATGGATAAAGTTTATTGTGTATAACTATTTCGAAAATCTTAGAGAAATTACAGAGTAATGATATAGGTCTATAGTTAGTTATTAATGAGCGATCGCCTTTTTTGTGGATTGGAATTACCTTTGCCACTTTCCATCTTGAAGGAAAACAGCTGGTTTTAACTTGTTATTGAGCCTTTTACCCGCTCTGATTATATCATTTAATTCAATAAATGGTAAGTCAATGTTACTATTACATAATGGAATTGACTCACCGTGGCTTGGAACGGACTCAGTGTAGACGCTGTGAAAAAATGTGCCAAAAGCATTAACTATGTCCTGCGCATTTGAGTGTTGTGTGTTTTTTTTACTCTGGATAAACGGCCAAAAGGTTTTGGGATCATTTTTGATAGACAGCTCAACACCTTCAATGTACCCAATATAGGCTTTTTTAATTTGAGACTTCACTAGTTTACGTAGTGTGTTAAACTGTTCAGAGCAAAGTTGAGTTCGGAATTTAAGGTACCTTTTACGTGCAACTTTCTTTTTGCGGATGTTATTAATAATCTCCCGCGTATAATATGAGGGATATCTCCGACTCCGTTTTATTTTCAGGGGAACACAACATTCAAAAATGTGGTTAAGAACACTGTACAGGGCCGAGCATGCATCATCCACACCAGTCGCGGCATACACAGCAGACCAATCAGCATTAAGGACAGATTCGTACAATAAAGGGAAATTAGCCTTTCGAAAATTAAACTTTTTTGGTGGATATTTGTTTAGCGCAAAGTTGTTAACATGTGTAAATGAAGCATCAAAATCAAAACAGAGAGACGGATGGTATGCATCTTCATTTACAAGAGGAACGTCATTCCTTACAACATTACGGGAACATTAGACAAGACAAGATCCAGCATTCGGTTGTGGCTATTTAGAATGCCATTATATTGGGAGAGGTTAGATATGGCCATGAAATTCTTCACAATTCTACTCTTTTGATCTACTGATTCGTCGTTAACGAAAAGGGGTGCGTTAAAGTCGCCTACGATAAGGATTTTTTTATTTTGGAGACGGTTTTGTGAAACCAATGTGTCGAAAAAAAGTTCCACATCATCATTGAGTACTGACGGCGGTATATATAAAACAAATATGAAAATAATGAAGGATTCGATACCGTTCCACAGCAGACAAAGTCTATAAGTGGTACACTTGCCTCCAAACCCGGCAGTAAGACCAGGCGTGATTTGAAGCAAGTGGAGATGCCAAGAAGCACTCCTCCTCCCCTAGTGGAGTCCACACGGTCGAACTTGCGGTCACTGCGATATACATCATAAAATTCTGGGATAATTTCGGAATTTCCAATGTCGGGCATTAACCATGTCTCCGCAACAGCGATAAAGTAAATTCCAGACGCCGCCACAGTTGTTTGGAAGTCCAGGATTTTTGTGTTTAAGCCGCGAACGTTTTGATAGCAGCAGTGTATAGTTGAAGAAATGGGATTACCCCTGTTGGATGCATCTAGTTTTCCGATATGCGTTGTTAATTTTCACTATCGTGGGAATGCCCCTGATGTGCTTAATTCTTAAGTCTACCTCACCAGCGCTTTTGCGCTGCATCAACTGTTCCTTAACACTCTTGTAAAACTGCATCTGTTTCGGGGTTTTGTCTGAGGCAACTGTAAGATGCTTAAGCCGTGGGTTATTCCTAATTTTGTAGCACTGCTTCAACACACCGACGACAGTGCCACTATCTTTGCAGCATATTTTCAAAGGACGTGGACGGCTGGCAGAGTTTTGAGCACGGCCGAGACGCGATGCGTGCAAAATATTTGATAAGTCAAATGCTGGACACACACTTTGTAGGATACTACCAGCAGATTCCATACCGTCCTCCTCCTCCGACGTGGGTTCAGGGTGACCAAAAACGATAATATTATTCTTACGTTGCACTCTGTCATAGTACTCCTGATAAAACTCTTCACTTTGATCGGTCCCAGAGAGGCCATTTCGCTTCTTCAGCTCATTCTCTACAGCAAGCA